GATCTAGAGACTCACTATTTATTGGCTTGAGAACATGATGGAATAAAGCAAAATGGCTTAGTAAACTGTTTGCGCTTCTTTATTATGAAGCAGCAGTCAACCAATGCAATTTTCGATGCGATTTTCATCATGGGTCATCCGGAAACTATTTCTCTGTGTTTTAGGCCATCTCCAACAATTTACACCATTTTTACACTAAAATGGTGTAAACATCACATCATAGAGTATTTTATCTCCAACAGTTTACACCATTTTCATCACCAAAAAGGAGTATTCCTTTTTACTAACTTTTTACCATTCTTATATTTAAGTATCTAATTATCATATATTTATACATTAGCCCCTCATTTAATATTTTGACATTTCACACATTATTTCACACATACAAACTAAAATACACCATTTTAATATGTATTTTCACGCATTTCACTAATTAAAATACAATAATCAATATTTCACAAATACAAGCTAAAAGCACATAAAATTAAATATTACAATAATATTTTTTTTTTAAATATTACAATAATATTATAATAATTTGTACGTCATTAATAAAGTACTACTTATACTTAAAGCGATAGATTAAATAAATATTCTTAGTTTAGTTATCGGAATTTGAGAATTGTTCCCACAAATGATCAATTGAAGCATTGCGGAGCTCAATATGAGCGTTTTTGTCGTGAATTTGGTTATGTCGGGTAAGAAATTGAGTGAACCGTGCCGCCTCAGCAACTGCCACTTCAACATCTGGAACTGGTGTATCTCTCACATCTTCAACGGGTGCATGTATATCACGTTCATTCTCTATTATCATATTATGCATAATAATACATGCGCTCATTATGTCGTGTAAGACTTTTTTCTACCAAAACCGTGAAGGTCCTGCGATAATTGCAAATCGGGATTGCAATACTCCAAAGACACGTTCAACATCTTTTCTACACGCTTCTTGTCTCATGGCAAAATATTTATTCTTTCTACCTTGTGGTTAATGAATTGTTTGAACAAGTGCTGACCACTTTGAATATATATCATCCGCTAAATAGTAACCGACATTATACTCTTTTCCTTGAATAATATAATGAGCGGGAGGAGCAATACCCTGTGCTAAATGTGAAAAAGGATTGGATGCCTCTAAAACATTAACATCCTTATTACTACCTGGCATTCCAAAACATGTGTGCCATATTCAAAGATCATAATCTGCCACAGTCTCAAGGATGATAGTTGGTGAGCCACTACGACCAGAATATTGTCATGCCCATGCTGTTGGACAATTTTTCCATTTCCAATGCATGCAATCAAGACTCCCCAACATTCCTGGAAATCCACGTTGTTTTCCAATGTCAAGAAGTCTCGCTATGTCATTTTCATTAGGTCTTCTTAGATAGTGCCCTCCATATATTTGGACAATAGATCGACAAAACCTTTGTTTGTCCCTGTATCAACAATCAAACTAACAAAATAGATAGAGTAGAGAAGAAACGATGATTCGATTCAATACCAACAATGATATTGGAAAATACATAACAGGGTATCGAGAAAGGGAACTCGGCTCTCTCTCTCTCTCACTAGACTAAATGTATGCGTGAAAATCTGAAAAGTCTTAAGGCTCATTCCCTCTAAGGTTATATTTATATGCCTAGGGAATGAGTTCATGTGACCCAAGCATGATTGGGCTTCTTTATTTAGATGGCCCAATAGCGCACTTTACAATATTTCCTAATAGGGCTAGTCCATTTATTGCTTACAAAGGTGCCTATAGGCTGAAATATCTAGACATAATAACCATTGTTCTAAAAATCGGCCTAGGCGGACCGATTAATCGGCCTAGGCGGCCTAGGCGGCCCTAACCGTAGAGGCCGAATCGGCCTAGTCGGCCAAAAAATCGCCCTAGTCGGCCTAAAAATCGGCCTAGTCGGCCGCCTAGGCGCTAGGCGCCCCTCAACCGCCCGACTAGCGCCTAACGAGTTTTAGAACAATGATAATAACTACACAAATACAAAGATATTTAACTAGATTGGATACCATAAAATATTCCCAACAACCTTTTCATACTTTCAATTGTTGTAGACTCACCTATTTTAACGTACTCGTCTGTTGCATCCGCAGGCACACCATATGCCAACATACGAAATACAACTGTTATTTTTTGTAAAGCTGATAATCCGAGTCTACCTGTTGCATTTCTTCGTTGGTGGAAATATTTTCCATGATTTGTAACTGCACCAACTATTTGTAGGAACAAATCTCGCAACATAAGATATCGTCAACGAAATAATGCTTCTCCATGTCGTGGAGTTGGAGAGAAATAGTCCATGAACAAATTATGGTCTCCCATTTCTCGATCATGGTCTATCACCACATGACCACGAACTGATCCACCATGCCTAATAGGCCTGTTCAGCTTACCAATACAATGACTTATTGTCATGTTGTTGTTTTTAGTGCCACCATCACGGTTTCTTCTTCTTCATCAAGTTGTGCTATAGTGTTCATCGCTAAAGCATCATCATCTGAAGAAGAAGACGATGATATGTAAGAGGATGCTCCAATATTGAAGTTCATTTTTTTGATGTGGTGATCCATCTGATGTGTTAATTTGTTCATATAAATAGTAGTACGCTTATCTCAAAAGATAAGAATCTGATGGTTGTGAAGAAAAGGAAATTCAACCAACGGGTAACGTAATGATTCCCTACCAACTTGTGTCTGACATTGTAAGTAGTGCGTGACAAGTAGTATGCTTATCTCAAAAGATAAGAATCCGATGGTTGTGAATAAAAGGAAATCCATCCATCGGGTAATGTAATGATTCCCTACCAACTTGTGTCTTACATACTGTTAGGTCCCCTAGATTTTGATGATTATAATGTAATAGTTTTGATGATGCCACCCCTTTTTATTATCCCTGTATTAGATTAGTCTACTAGTTGTGTTCTACTTTGTCTATTTGTAATGTGCTCCATATTTAGTGGTAAAGTACTCATAAAAAGCAAAGAGTACTAAAAAGAGAAGAAATGTACCATAAAACAAAAGAAAACAATCAAGAAAAAGAAAAGGTACGAAAAGAGTTAACTGATATTCATTGAAAAGGAAGCCTACTGAAAAACCCATATTTCGGCAGCTGATTTTCTTGGCAGCCAGCTGAAATATGGAAATTCAATCAAGGCATCCGAAATGCAACTCTCTCTTCAACACTTAGACAAAAGGACAACTTGCAGTCAAAATAACAATTTGATGAAAAGTAAATTTATAAGAAATTTTTAAACACATTATAAATTTCTTATAAATCTATTTTACTAAAAGCAAGTGTTCGTTATTTTGTAAAGAAGCATTGAAATATCATTCAGCTTTATACTAGTTTCTACGCGTGAGAATATGAAGATAATAGCTCTTTTATCTTGCATTGAAATGTGTAAAGAAGTTGAGTTGAAGATTATTGATCCGTGTCACTACGTGACAAAGACCAACCATGTTGCCTCAGTCAAGTGGAACAAAGCAAGTAGATCAAGCTACGGTCAAGATTCATTTCCTCAGCCAACGATGGAGATGCAATGATCAAGTCTATAAATACAGAATGATTGCGGGAATACCAAGTGTGGTAAAACGAGAGGATCCATGTGGATAGAAGGAAATCAAACTCTACACGATGAAATCCAGTCAACTGATTTCCCTTATACACTTTGGCTACCACCCCACTCGTCTAATGCTCTTAGACTAGCTACAATTCATACAAATCTATAGAGCTTAGATTAGTTGGTAGTTTAGCAATACACCCATGTATTCTAGACTAATGTTAGACATTCTGGAGGGCTTTGTGATCAAATCCAGAAGGTGAGAAAGGTCAAGGACATGAGTGGCTCTTGGCAAGTCAATGCCATTAGTGAAAAACCTTAGGTGGACTGAGTAACTTGGAACGGTGTTTAAGTTCCTTGTGAAAAATGTCACAATCTATGCCTGGGCCAAGGGTAGATTGGGGCATTAAATGTAATGGGATATTCATTTAGTGGAAATGCATCTGAAATAGGTTGGGACTGGGTGTAGGAGGATTACACCACCTCTGAACCAGGATATATCTTGTGTCACCCTTTGCATTCAGCTCCTAACATAAATTCAGTACTTACTCACCTTCACAACTTCACAGCAAAACAGCTTGCTCACTAAAACTATCCAGTGAACATTTCTAGTTCAATGTGAGTCATCTCCTTGTTATCTGTTCTTCAAAGTGATCTATTTCTATAGGTTTAAATCCTTTATACTCATGTGTTAGACTTGCTCTAAAGCCTATCAATATGTTAGAGTATAGTTCATTGCTGTACCTTAACTAATTGAAGCAGAAATGCCATTTCGGCAGCATGCTCCCAAGGGTTTTGGCAGTCACGTCTAAACTGCCAGGCAGCTAACTCCTCCTAGTTTCGACAACATGCTCCTTGAGTCATTTGCTTCTGGCAAACACATTTGTGTCATGTTTAATCCATCTCTCACACAACTAAAAGGGTCATAACCTTTGTTTCTATAAAGTGTTACCCTCTTGAGGTCAAGACTTCTGCTGCATGTTTCAATATCTCCCAAAAGATATTGGAACACATTTTGTTAAAAGAAAAAGGGGCTGAAAAACGAAAAGATTTAAAAGTCTATTCACCCACCCTCTAGACTTTTACCTCACTTGGGACTCAGTTGGTATCAAGGGCACTCATCACATTGTAAGTAATGCGTGACAAGTACGCTTATCTCAAAAGATAAGAATCTGATGGTTGTGAAGAAACGAAAATGCATCCAACAGATAATCTAAGAATTCCTTATCAACCTCTACATTCTATAAATACCGATGTCCTAAGTTATCACACTTCATCAAAACCTCTATCTCAAAATCTATATTTTATCTTTTTCCCTTTACGAGCAAAATGACTTCAAGATCAAGTAGTTACACCATAGCTGAAGACGCATTGTTGTGTCAAATGTATTTATACATAACTCAAGACCCAATCATCGGCAAATATCAATCTGCAAATGGTTTTTGGTCACGAGTTGAGGCTAAGTACAATGAACAACGTCAACAAAATCACGAGCATCGTAATGCACGTTCACTGCATTCAAGAATGGATACAATAAGTATTCAGACACGGAAGCTAAATGGGTGTGTGAAGCAAGTTGAGAATTTAAATCCAAGTGGTGCTTCTGAAAAAGATATTGTAAGTATAATATAATTTTAATTTTCAATAATTTATTTACTTTTATGTAATACAAATTTATTTTTATGATTTGCAGCTGGATCGTGCTAAAGTTTTATTTATGCAAGATCCAAAATATTCTAAAGGTTTTAAATTTGACCATGTTTGGGATATGATTAAAAATTTTGAAAAAATTAAAGATAATGTGTCAACTACAAGACATGCTGCTCCACAAAAAGACAAGTCAATTACGACTCTTCCCAATCAGACTCCCATCCACCATCTCCAATTTCCTCATCACTTGGATTGTCATCTTCGTTCAATAAAGAAGTTGATACTGATTCCGGGTCAGATTTTTCAAAACGGCCAATAGGGGTAAAAAAGCCAAATTGAAGAAGAAAAACGATGAAGACACTACTGTTTTGCTTAAGTCAGTTAAGAGCGACAATGAGCAACTTATAGAGATGTTGAAGAAATTGTCATTAGATCGATAGGAACAATTGCAAATCCAGCGACAAAATATGGCAAACAAAGAACAAAGGAGAGAAGATAAAATTATGTTCATGGATTTGAATCCTAGTCACGATCCACAACGCGCGAGCGTATATCATTGCAGAAAGATCAAGAATTTTACAAAAAAATCTCAAGAAAGAGGATCATCGGCTGGATTTGGGAATCTATTTGATGGTCTTGGAGGGTCTGGAAGCGGGTTGAATGACTACTATTTTCTAAATTAGTATGTACTATGTGTGTTTTTAGTTATGTTTTAATTTTAATTATAATGGTGTTATTAATTGTAATTTTAATTATGTTATTTTCTCAAGTATCAATTGTATTCTGTTATTATGTTGTTTGGATTTAAAACATTATTTATAAGTGTGATTTAAATTTTAATATATTTTTTTTCTATCAAATTAATAATTTTAATTTGTTGTTCTATAAGGATGTTTTTACTGGGACTGTAATTGGTCTCAAATCAGATCAGACCGGATTAGACCAGACTTGGGTAGTTATAAAAATACTAAGAAATCAGACCAAACGATATCAGTTTAGACCAGACCAAATCAAACCAGACCAGAGCAGAGTAGAAAATTTCAATCCAAGTAAAAACATCCTAATTTGTTGTTTTAAAAATGGTTCAAAACTCTAACAATCAAAACTTTGGGTCACATTTGAAAAAAAAAATTAAAAAACGAAGATGGCGCTTGATATGGCGTAAAGCCAACCCCTCTCCCCCAAAATGGTGAAATGGTGTAAGAGATGGTGTAGCTGTTGGAGCAATATTTTGGCAAATCCAACATTTTGGTGTATGATTTGATGCTTGTTGGAGAAGCTCTTAGTACAAGGGTAAGATTGCATACGTCCAACCCCCTTACCCCATCAAAGGTGTGTGAGCCTTTGCGGCATTGGGATAATGATGATGATTATTAGGGGGTGTTTGGAACCGATTCTGCTTCTACTTCTTTTTTAAATCAGAAGCAGAATCAGAATCAGTTTTCAGAAGTTGGTCCCCCAAGCACCTAAAAAACCGATTCTAAGAGTAAATTGGAGCCCCAGATTCACTTCTGCACTTTCACTCAAACACTCTAGCTTCTGCATCTACTCCCTGAAGAAGCAGAAGCAGTTTTAAGAATCAGATCCAAACACCCCCTTATTAATCATTACTAATGGTGAAAAGTGAAGACAATGGAGGGCTGGTAGGGGCTCAAACTTCATAGAAATGATATGTTGATTTTTCCTTGGCTTGCGAAACATAAAATTTTTGAACGCCAAACTCAAAGTTACATTTCTACACCAACCAATCACTATTTATTTTGATTTAAAAATAAAATACTCCCTCCGTCCCGCTAATATCTTCATGCTTTCATTTTTTAGCCGTCCCAAAATGATCTTCTCATTTCCCTAAATGGAAAGTTATCCTACATCAAAACAGTGTCGAACAGTGCCAAACATGTCAAACAGTGTCAAACAGTGTCGAAACCGTGTACTCTACAGTAAAGTCAAATTTATTTCCTAAATATGTGTATAGATCAAAGTAGGAAGTTCTTAGCGAGACGAAGGTAATATGTTTAAGAATTTGGAGTTTAATTCTCCGTACTCCGTAACTCAAACACGATAAGAATCATAAGAGAAGAGATTAAGAGCTGCCGTTTTCAGTTTTCACTAAGGGTGGGCAATTCGGTTTACGGTTCGGTTTTCTTCGGTTTCGGTTCGGTTTCGGTTTATTCGGGTTGAGAGAATTTGTACCAAACTAAAACCATTTGTTTTTCGGTTTGGTTTCGGTTCGGTTTGAAGTTCGGTTTACCAAAGTAAAAAATATTATGTTTAATTTAGTTTGATTTGAGTCGTTTGCTTATGATTATTATTTTATTTTATCAAGTTCTATATTTTAGAATTAGAAAATGAAAGTAGTAGTCCATCTCATATTTTTTTAATTTATTGATTATTTAAATAAAATGTAAAAGGAAATAAAAGATAGAAAAATAAATAATAAAATATTATAAATTAAAACTTCTAACATCTTTTTTATCACTACAAAATAATCACTTTTTACAAAAAATAAGATAATTGATTAGCATTTATAATATCACATAAAATATTTAAAAAAAACCTAAAAGAGTCAGTGATACAAATGTTGTAATATTCACAATTTTATTCAAATGAATCATCTAAAAATATAAATGCAATTTGTTATTGTTATTGCCAAACATAATAAATAAAAATATGTCGTATTAGCTAACTTTGTCATAATGAATGTATGAAATGTGTAAAAGTTAAAATGATACGAGTATATGCTTAAATATGTATTTTCATGTCTAAATTATTTATTTATATCTTAAAAATGAAGAGTGAAGATAAATACAAAGTATACACACACACATATGTGTGTGTGTGTGTGTTTTCGGTGTTCGGTTCGGTTTACGGGTTTTCCATTTTAAACCAAACCAAAGTACCAAACCATTCGGTTTGAGCAAATGTTTACCAAATGGTTTACTTAAGTAAACCCAAACTAAATCAATCCACCAATTTTAATAATATATGAATGTTTTTTGAGTTTCTTTAGTTCGGTTCGGTTTTGTTCGGTTTGTATCGGTTTCGATTTGGTTCGGTTCAGTTTAATACGATTTGGAAGAAATAGTATCAAATTCAAACCAAATTGCATACGATCCGATTTAGTTCGATTTGGTACGGTTCAGTTCGATTAAACCAAACCGTCATGTCCACCACTTTTCACCCAAATCTGAAAGGGATCCCAAAATTTAAAGCCGGCTTTCGGACTCAAAATTACTGTACTCAGTTCAGACCCGTGCTAAACCAGAACACGACCGATGCCCGCCCCCATCAATACACTGCCCGAGCACGAGTAAAAGGGACGTCTTCTTCACTATACCGATATTGCAGACTGTTTTTCTTCCCGCCATGGTCGCCATGGAAGTGGACTCTCAGAGGAACACGGTACTCCAGAGGAAGCAGGCCCTCTACAAATCTTTGGTACAGCAATAAAACAAATCCTATTCTTTTCACACTCTTCGTTCGGTTTACAATTTCCGCTCAATTCAACACGATTGCCGTATTTTTATTTAAATTTTGTTTAAACGGTTGTTCAGGATGAAACCTTTGAGATTCAGAAGTTAACGTACAGGGGTCAACAGTACAGCCAGATTTATTTTGCTAGACTTCACTTGATGAGAACTCTCCTTTACTCTCTTCTCCCTAACTGGAAACCGCATTTGCCTGGTATCCATTTCCTGTCCATATTTGCAGTCATTTCATGTAAAATCTGCATTTATGGCAACGCGTTTAGTAGTTTATGCACATTTCTTTGTTGAATTTGAGCTCAATATCCGCCGTATATTTTAAGCTTCCTAGAATATTCAATGGCAACTTTTTTGAATATCTGTTGAAAAATGGCTTTTTACTTCTCATCTTTTTGCAAGTCGCATGGGATTGGTTAGAACGTCATCTACGTTTCCAATAGTTGCACTTTGATTATAGACTGGGGTTAGAGTTCTGACCTTCTTCCTTTTTCTTGAATATGAATCTTTAGATATGATGTATCAAGATTGCAAATTTTATATATGATAGTCTAGTTCAGGTCAGGAGATACATTCTTAACCTACGTCCGCCATTACCTGAGAAGAAATTTTTGCTGACTTTCAAAATTGAATTGTTTTAGTGTGAACATAAGATTAAACTTTAGCAGTTATTTTTTCTTCCTTTTGCCTCTCCTCTCCAACCCCAGTGAATTCAGTTTATCCTTCCTCCACATTCTTTCTTTGAGGCAGTACTTTCTCAGTGTCTCCACATTACTATTATTTGGTAATGTTTTTAAGTCTTGATCATCTTGGGTCAGCTAAGCTTTCTCCTGTTATCTTACTTTTGTTATTAGGGAGTATAAATTGTTGATTAGTTTTAATTGAATGCAGTCTGTAATGTTCTGGGATTAGAGGAAGGGAAAGAGTGCATTATGGTTGGGACCCTCTACAAGCACATGAAGCTTAAACCTTGCGTTCTTGATGAGTACTCTAAGGGGGTATAGAATACTGATCAATATGTTTTACTCCTTTTTATCTACATATTACATATTTTTCGTTTTTCCACATTTTGGAATTATGATACTTAATTTAATTAACACCATTAATAACTCAACTTCTGGCATCCAGAGAAATTCTGCACAGATTATACAGAGTCAAACTTTCATGCATCCGGATGATTCTTTAATTTTGGAAGATGAAAGTGGACGAGTCAAACTAAGTGGTAGCTTGTTAGTGCCTTCGACATATGTAACAGGTTTGCATCTTTAGTTGCTATGCAGTGGCGTATGACTTCAAGTCATCAACCATGGAGATTATTTGAACATATTATTATATAATAGTTGTGAAGTCAACAATTGATTGCATGGACTTGAAAAGCAGTTCATGTAGAGCTGAGAACAAATCAATTAATCCTTTAGTGTTTCTTGAATGTGCTAGTGTCATATATGATGTACTGGAGAAAAATTCTCTTTTGTATGACATGCCCATTGAACTGATACACTACACTATAAAGATTAAATAATTTTTTTCATTAACATGAGTATTTCAACATACTATACAAGATTCTACCATAATATTCATTTTATGGAGCCTTCAAATCACAGAATGTGAGATTACCTTACTACTTTCTTAATAACTGTCTGATAACATTCTTTCATGATCAAATTCGTCTCGAATACTTGATTTCTTTGATGTGATATGTTTTATAGGACTTGTTGTGGCTATACATGGAAAGGAAACTACTGCTGGTGATTTTCTTGTTGAAGATGTTTTAGAGGCTGGCCTAGCAGAACAAGTGGAACGGCCATTTCAGTTAGGTGAGGTTTCTTAACATGAATGTTCTCGTTCTGTCTTTTTTATTAAAATATGTACTTGCTTGCTTGTGGTGTATTTCTTTTCTCTGGACTTAATTTGAACTATCATTGCTAATTAATTTTAGTTTCTGGATGTACTGAAATGGATTTAAGATTTCTTTTTTAATTAATCATAATGAACTGATGGTGTATGAGACAAAAATCCCTAAATAGATTTTTTTCATCACAAAATGACATTACTGGACTACTGCTTTCAAATGCTGAAATGAAGTTGGTCTAGGACTTCACTTTGTATCTTAAAGACACTTTACCTTTGTATGGAAGGTTGGAAGAATTCACGTAGAGAATTATTTGTTGCATGAACAGATGAAGACAAGTATGTGGTATTCGTCTCTGGTTTAAGAGTTGGAAGCAGCACCTCCAATCCTTTACAGTTTCAGCTGTTCATCGATCATATAACTGGACATTTAGGGGATGAGAAGGTTTGTTTAGGCTTCTTCTGCTGTGTATTATCCTATTAATATATGTTGAATATGACTAAACATATCTGCTCAACTGCCATAAAAAAGGACCAAAACATTGCATCTAAAATTGTTCAAGTGGTCATTGCTGGAAACTCTGTCGAAATTCCAAGTGGACTCCTAAATGGTCAGGTGAACTCTTTGCTTTCTTCATCATAGAGGACGTTTGCATAATCTTTCTTTTAATGCTCAGTTTAATTGTTGTTAACTTGTTATTACAGCGTCTCATTTTATCCTCTCTTTGGGTGCAACAAAATCTAAAATAGAAAATAACTTACATGTTGGAACCATTTGCACTATAAGCTTGTCCTGTATGTTCCAAACATTTGGCATTCTTATTTTCATAATGCTAGTTGACACTTGTAATCTCATTAGATGTTTCGCTAGTAATTTTACTTCCTTAAACATTTTTCAGCATTTGACTATTATTTGTATTGCAGAACATCGGCTCAAAAGACCAGTCAAAATTATCAGAGCCAATCAAAGAATTGGATATCATGCTGACTCAGGTCTTCCAATCAACTCATTGTTATTGCATTCTACAATCTTGACATGCATTTAATTTTATATATGTTTTTTATTTTTTAATTCAGATTGCATCAGGCATACCTTTGGATGTCATGCCTGGGCCTAGTGATCCTGCAAATTTCTCCTTGCCACAACAGGTTGTTTTAATTACCTGATCATCTAAATGGTGTGATAATAGTGGTCATCAATGTATTTTCGAGGTTCTGAATGATGTGCTCATTGTGCTGGATATGTCTAATCTCTAATTAATTCCCATCTTTTGCGACTCATCAGCGCCTACACAGATGCCTTTTCCCAGGGTCATCAACATATAATACTTTCAGATCTTGTACTAATCCCCACTGCTTTGAGCTTGACAAAATTAGGTAAAGCTCATCTTTATATTTACTTGAAGTAGGTGTTTTTATAATGTTTGACGCGTGTGTGATTATTAATTACTACTGCATGCTCTTCAGGTTTCTGGGCACTTCAGGTCAGAACATAGATGACCTTAACAAGTATTCAGAAGCAAAAGATAAACTTGAATTCATGGAGCGCACATTGAAATGGAGGCATTTGGCACCCACTGCACCAAATACCCTTGGTTAGTAAAAGATGCATATATGCTTACCAGTTGTTTCCTTGTAGTAAATTATTAATCCAATTAGCCATTGAATTTCTGGCAACCTATCTAATCAACAATAGCCACTATATGAGATGCAAGTACATGATTCGTTTTTGCATTGTTGATTTTCTCTCATTTTAGGTTGCTATCCATATGATGATAGGGATCCTTTCTTCATTGAATCCTGTCCCCATGTTTATTTCGTGGGCAATCAAGATGAGTATGATACTCGCTTGATCAAAGGTACTTCAATTGTAGTTCGGGACTTTCATATATTGTATTTTAGAATGATTGAAGTATCATGCTCTGTTTGGTAGCATTAATAGGATTGGCTTATTCTGCTGCATGCTTCACTAGTTCTGCTGACATGAATTTTATCAAATGCTTTCCTTTCAGATAATTTAGCAGATTTAGCCATTTAGAAAATAACCCTTACCAAATGGGCACTTAATGTTAATGCTTTTGGTTGTGCAGGCTCAGAAGGGCAGGTGGTGAGACTCATATGCATCCCTAGATTTGCTGAGACGGGAGTTGCTGTGGTGGTAAGAGTTCAGTTATTTTCTCGCATTTGTTTTTCATTTTGGTTTTGAAGTTCACCTTTTGGCATTTATGACTTCCCTGTAGTTAAACATGAGAAATCTTGAATGCTACACTCTTAGCATTGGTGCTCAAATCACCATTTAACCAGCTGGGTGTACAAAACAATTTGAGACCGTGAAGGCCTGAAGCATGCAATCACCCTGCAGTTTCTGTATGCAGCACTTCCTCTTGTCGCATAAAGGAATCATTGAGTACAGTTTCTCTTTTGTATCATCAGTCATTTTGGATATGGTGCAATGTATTCATTAGTTGTACAACATGGATCTCCAAGTCATGTCTGATCTCTCCTTGAATGGTTGGTCTTTAACTTTGCTTGCAAAAACAGGCAACTGATTGCATGCATTCAAAGGAGAAGAGTCTGTAGTGTGTACAATAATGTTTTAGTAGCATAGGAGACACTATACATATTCATATATTCAAAATTATGGGCACTTTCGTACCTATAATAATGTATAGGGAAATTATCACTGACCTCCCTTGAGGTTTCATACATTATCATTTAGGCCCCCTGCACTATTAAAAATATAACCTCACCCCCCTCCCTATCCTTTAATGAGATTTTAATAACTCCTAATCATGTTTAGCAAAATTATAGATTGAATCATATAAATTTACTCAGTTGCAAATTTGATACGGTAACATATAAATTTATCCGCATTACAAATTTTTTCACCAGGAAGTACACTTTGTGATGAAAAATTTGATAGCGTCTTTTCTAGTACTCCGTATGTTTTTTTTGCCAGAATATGTTCTTTCCGATGAAACAGTCCTTAATATAGACATATTTATTAGTTATAGAACTACATCTATATGAAAGTAAGTTTATCGGACTAGCAGCGGACACAATAAAAAAATACGTGCATAAAACAATAAATCTCTATTTTAAGAGTTCAAAAATATTCATGCGATTGAGGAAAAATATTGGTGGAATATACATCTCATGTTAGAGATTTTTTTCTCACGTGAAAAAAGATTATTAGCTTTAGCAGTTTTCTTAAAATTAAAGTATCCACTAATATATTTTAGATATAATAAAAAAATTTAAAGTTTGAATGAACTAACGTTGTTTAGCATTACAGTTTAGCTAAACTTTTGAAATATTATTTAGACCTAAAAGAGATGTTGGTGAATGATCTTTCGGACATGGTCGAAATCATTCAAGTAAGTATTTAATTTCCTATAAAAATCATTCACCAACATTTGTTTCATGTATAAAATAATATCCCAAAAGTTTTGCTAAATTGTAATTATAAATAACGTTCATTCAAATTTAAAAAAATTTTAATACAGGATTATATATGCGGATAAATTTTTAAATTTTTCTAGAAAGACTGCATAAGCTAATTTTTTCTCCACAAAGTGTACTTTGTTGTGGAAAGATTCTTAATCCAGATAAATTTATTTGTTACCAGATCAGATATGCAAGTGAGTAAATTTACAGGATTAAATCTATAATGTTGCTAAACATGATTATGAGTTATTTAAACTATCATTAAAGGATAAGAAGGGGGTAAGAGTATATTTTTATTAGTACAAGGGTCTAGATGATAATATGTGAAACCTCAAGGGAGGTAGGTGATAATTTCCCTAATGTATACTACGTATTAAATTAAAATTCCAACAACGCACACTATGAAGAATTACAAATAAGTTCATTAACGTATTTCAATAAAGAATTCCATTTTTAGAGGATAAAGAAGTCCATTAAAAAAATCCATGAACTAACATTATTTTCATATAAAAAAAAACATTATTTTCATATAAAACATCAGAAAGAATAAAATTAGAATAGACCTGCATAATAATTAGGAACACTAGTTTCCCAAATCTTCAGTAATTACAGAATCCGCAAGAAAATTAGAATTTGATGCTTATATGAGTTCGTATCAATGCTTATTAGAGAAACTAGTGTTTTACCCGGGCGTTGCCCGGGATAGATTTTGAAAATGTTTGAAACTTTCTAAGATATACTATGTATATTTATACAATATATAAATAATTCGTCGTTTGACTTTAAATAAATGTTTTCCCTAGAAGGTTTAGGGGAATATGAATCATTACATTGTTTGCAGTAAGTATTCTTATTTAGGAAATAAAAATATGATAGTCTTATTTTGGAATATACAAACGTTTTTAGTCTTATTTAGGGTCATTTTCCTAAAAAATTCCAAATAGATAAATTTAAAAGTAAGTTGGTTTATTTATTTTTTGTATCGCTAATGCATGCCATTCAATACAAAGTAACAATCCCATAATATTATGGAGAATAAAACAATAAGAAAAAATATTTTTATATTTAATTGGAGAATCTCACAATGTATGTGTGTACTCACAATGAACTTATAGCTTGTTTGATGATAGTTTACATGTTAAATACTCCGTATTTGAATGTAAATGATTGCATGCAACGTTTAGGGAACCAGTCACTTTGCACTTAAAATAAATAATATTGTTTGGCTACATGTGTAATTTACTTTCAATTTGCAACACAAAGGTGTTACAGTGCTTTGTAAAGAACATGCAAAGTATTTTACCACCATCCCTTCACTTAAAATACTTAATACTTTACCGGGTACAGTGTGAAATGGTTTTAAAAAATGTTGTATACTTTACATTAAATAATCTAGTCAAACGGTGTAAATCTTTTACGTCCCTACACTCCACATGTAAATCTTTTAAATCTCTTACATCCTACCAAATACCCTCTTAGTATATTACGTAGTGTATATTTGATCAATAATATCTCAATTGCTTAATATGAAAAATGAAAAAATGAAAAATTAATTCAATTTATTTATCATCCTAAATATATGTACATTTAGTATAAAATATTATTTCCATAGATTTATGGAGAATATAAAATATAAATAAATATGGTTTATATATATTTAGGAGAATCACACAATGTGTATATAGTCACAATTTACTTATTAATTATATAATACTTTATTAGCATTATTTCAATTCTTTAATTTGAAGATCACAATTCGTATTTTTAAATGCTTCTTCTGTTTTAAGAGTGATTTGAAAGGTAATTTTTTTAGTAAATGTAAAATTTCAATTTTCAAAGTAAATGAGAAAAGTTCTTCAAAAAAAGTAAATGAGAAAAATGTATCAATCGGTTTTAAATCATAACCTCTTATATTCCGAATACACTGACGTTTTCATCACATATTTTAAATAGGAACTACTGTTTTATTAATTGGGAATCTTATAAGGAAAACAGAAAACTTATAATTATATTCTCATTACTATATCAATTTATTCTTTTGTATGTTTTTTAAATAAGCGTAACTATTATACGCACTATCTCATTCCAATCATCATTATCATTACCCCAGTTCTGCAAAATGTATCAATGCTTATTAGAGAAAAGGGTCAAATAAGACCTTCTACTATTATGAAATAGTCACATAAGGTCATGTACTCAAAAAAGTGTCACATAAATATCTCTACTTGTAAAAAGCAATCAAATGAGTCCTGTTCCTAATGACCTATTTAACACCTCTTAATCCCGATTTTAGCGTGCTTTTGACCATCTTTTTAGAATAGATTATGCAGCATGCATCAAATATTTAACTAAGATTGGTTGAAATACAAGTCAAAAAATCGACATGTAAACTAAAACCGGGATTAGGAGGTTGTAAATAGGTCGTTCCGACTCATTTGATTGTTTTTTTAACAAGTATAGGTACTTATATGACACTTTATTGATTACATGGTCTTATGTGATTATTTCATAATAATAGGTCTTATTTGACCCTTTTGTCATGCTTATTATCATCTAAAAATGATGAAATATGACTGACATGAGTTCGTATCCATGCTTATTAGCATCTATTATGTTTTGTTAAAACGCCATGTCAAGCCTATTAAAACAATAAGATATAAATTCTTGCTCGTTATATAATAGACAAATGAACCCAAATGCTATCAATTAAACCATTTTTTCAATTCAGTTTTAAACAAACAAAAATTAGAAATATCTTTCACTGAATTCGAAAGGTTTGACCAAGTTTTTATTTTTTCACTTTGAACTATTGTGAATTAGGGCTACTTGGTGTACACTTGTACACATTTTGTGTACACCCTCGCCAAATTGTGTCTACTAGGCAGTTTCTTAACAAATTGATTGTATAGACAAACAAATAGGGGCGTATACAAAAATGTGTACAAAAAGTATATACCAAAAACTAAATAGTTGAAAAATTGTTGATAGAATGCGAAGAAAGAGAACATAAAGAATGGGAAAATGTACGCCGAACTAAAAATTGCACTGCTACTGAATTATATGAATTAACCAATCAACCTTGTTGACTTGCTAAAAATGACATCCCAAATCACAAATAGTATTAGTACATAATTTGAAATGCTTACAGCCTTACATGGTAATACCAATATAAAGTATTTAAATAATAACAATACTAACGATAATAACAACAATGAATCTTTGGGATGAACAAACTTGCTCCCATGTCCGCCTTATCAAATATTGACTTGATGAAGATCTCAAAAACAAGGAAAAATATATAATAGTAAATAATAAGGACACGGAAACAAAATAACAAGTTAAAAAAGGAGAAACAACAAAGAAAAAAAATGGAGAAGCAGAGTTATTGCAATCACTTGACAATAAAATGTTTCCACGACACATCTCCAGTGGTCTTCTACCCATCCAGAATGCTGGCTGAAATTTAAAAGCATTTTCTGTGAACAATTGAAGGGCCAGATTCATCATACTCCGTCTTTGATATCCACATCTGCATTTTGGATTTTTGGTTAAAAAGAAAGAACACCAAATTGGCAAAATTTCAGAATAAATTCTAGATTTGTAAATGAAGACCATATTTCATCTACATGTGTTCCAGAAGATTGAAGACTAATAAGAGTGCATAGGCAATGGTTTATTTGGCAAAACTGTCTGAATGGATCATGTTGCTCAAATAATGGGTAATATGGCTAAACTAAATAAAATAAGTAGTTGTAAAAATTCAAGGGTAGAAATACATTTTCTTCCATTTCAGAAAAAAGAGTAACTTTGTACTGTTTTTCTTTCACCATTAATTGATTCATTGAGCATTCAATCACAATCATATGTGTTGGGGGGGGGGGGGGGGGGGGCTGTGCATGAGGCACATACCTGCTGGAATGTACTGAGGGAGGCCAAAATAGAACCTCCAATCCAAACACTGTACTTCCTCTCAGGCGGGGCAACAACCTTGATCTTCATACTACTCGGAGCCAATGCTGTGATCTCTTTGCTCATCCTGTCAGCAATACCTGGAAACATGGTGGTCCCACCACTCAGAACAATATTACCGTATAGGTCCTTCCTAATATCAACGTCGCACTTCATGATGGAGTTGTACGTAGTCTCGTGAATTCCGGCGGCTTCCATCCCGATAATTGACGGCTGGAACAGAACCTCCGGGCAGCGGAACCGCTCTGCCCCAATAGTGATCACCTGCCCATCAGGCAGCTCGTAGCTCTTCTCCACAGATGAGCTAGTCTTTGAGGTTTCTAGCTCCTGTTCATAGTCAAGAGCAATGTAGGCCAGTTTCTCTTTCACATCCCTCACGATTTCTCGTTCAGCGGTAGTGGTGAAAGAGTATCCTCTCTCAGTCAGTATCTTCATGAGATGGTCAGTGAGATCACGCCCTGCTAAATCAAGACGCAAGATTGCATGTGGAAGGGCATACCCTTCATATATGGGAACCGTGTGGCTGACACCATCTCCAGAATCCAGAACGATTCCTACAAACCACCAATTATGCAAAATTCTATGAAAATTTGAACATCGATATATTATGAAAGGATCATTGTATGCATTATTCATATTATTCAGCTCAATGCAGATTTACAAATACTGAGTGATTTAAAAATTTGACCCAAACTGCTATTGACAATAACCTTTAGGCCATGCGTGGAATGCAGAAAATGGTAGGGAAGTGGTAAAAAGGATAAGGAATATACTGCATACTTTTTTATGTTAGTCTTCACTTAGAAAAATACGAAGGATTATTGAATTTGCTTAGAATATTCTTTGACCTTTACAAATATTTTGATTTCTTAGTCTATAGTCTAAAAGAAATTAAAATGAAATAAGTTTGAACAACCATGTACATTTGATATGTTAAGTCTAAACCCCTAATTTCCCTCTATCTTCCTCCAAACATTGTTCGTTAACATGTATTCCAGGTCACCAAGCGGGCCTTAAAACCTTAAGTAATCGATATTATACTAGTACAGAGACTGGCACCAAACTACTACGTATCACATTATTGGTCACAACCACAGTGGACATAGATGCAACCCTACTATTTTTTAGACATTAAATGAAATTTAAAGAACCACATTAAACTGAAAACAAATATTAGCATAAAAACAATATAGTAAAAATTGAATCATCATAAAGAATAAAGATAATGCTCACCGGTAGTACGACCACTGGCATAGAGGGAAAGGACTGCCTGAATGGCAACGTACATGGCCGGGGCATTGAATGTTTCAAACATGATTTGCGTCATTTTCTCACGATTAGCCTTAGGGTTAAGAGGAGCTTCTGTGAGGAGTACTGGGTGCTCCTCTGGAGCCACACGAAGTTCATTGTAAAAGGTGTGATGCCATATTTTCTCCATGTCATCCCAATTGCTGACGATCCCGTGCTCAATAGGGTACTTCAGAGTCAAAATACCTCTCTTTGATTGGGCCTCATCTCCAACGTAAGCATCCTTCTGACCCATACCAACCATCACCCCAGTGTGACGGGGGCGTCCAACAATGCTAGGGAAGACAGCTCGTGGAGCATCATCTCCAGCAAATCCAGCCTTTATTTAGAAACAATGACAAATTTGTTGCTAGAGTAAATAAACATGGATAGAAATATGACTTTGATAGCATAATGACTATAATGGTATTTTCAGTGACTGTAGTACCGTGTTGTTGTTCAGCTTTACTATGTATCAACTATCAAGTATGGTAAACGTTTTGCAGTCATTATAACGACCTAGTCATATTTTCTGTATAAGCTTTATTTTGGTAATACTATAAGAAAAGTGGAAAACCTCCTTTTTATTTTCAAATTAAACAAATCGTATTGGCTTCTTAAACATTCATATAAACACATGAGTTTTTCTAATATGAATGCATGGGGCACAACTGCACATGTTAAGAATGAATAAATTAGCATTTAATGTATGCTTTTTCATAATTTTCCTAGAATAAGGTGGTAAATGTATAAATTTTAGAGGTAACTATATCCATATAATTATTTTTTCCTTCAAACCATCAAAACCTTTGGACGCTTGAAAATAAATCAAATTAAATGCTCTTTATCATGTGCCCTTGGACAAACATTAGAAAAAGCCTACATACATATCCAATAATGAATTGGAAGGACCACACCAATATACTTACTCCATCCCAAAAGTAGCCATTGTATGAAAACATATTTTTGTCCCGAAAGACCTAAAACTAAGACAAATGAATCGAAATTGCAATGCATTTAATGCAATTTTTACAATAAGATCTCTAACCAAGTCAAACATTGTTTATTTTTATTGTAAATGGCTTATATTAAATCACCATAAATCAGGTAAGATACACCTAGACAATCATTGTTAAAAATTTAGTTTTAAAAATAAATGAATTAAATACGTATGTAAGATCGAAGATTATCAAGAGTTTTACCTTTCCAAAATGAAACTACATCTTGATGAAACATTAGACTTTTTTTATTGGGACAGGGGTCATCATATGTTTAAAATACTTCTTACCTTGACCATTCCGGTTCCATTGTCACAGACAAGAGGCTGGATATCCTCACCTTCGGCCATCTTTTAATTTTCTGAGAAGAAAAAAGAGCTCGTTAATGCACACATAGAGGCCAGATGTATCCTATGTGTAGCATACTCCTAAAATGACATCAAATGCTTAAATACAGCTTCACAGATCACTCAATAAAAACCGACTTTAGCATTACTTATATTCTAAGTTGTATTGCATTCCATCTTCATGAATCCCACAGCTGTTATAAATTAAGATATTCATTTTAATTACATCTTAAATCACATTTTCGCACAAAGATATACAGGGTAATCCAAGCAATCACTTTTGATCTTGAAGCAAGCATTCATGTGGTAAAACATTTCCATGATCGACCCCATAAAAGAATCAAAGAACAGAGAAAAGTTAAAACTTTTACATAGAAAATGTAGCCTGGGTGATATATGATATATCCAACATGTCATTCTCAATCCCTAATCGAACACTTGGGGCATGTTTTGCTTCCCAATCAGAGTCCAAAAAGGATCAGACTTGTATATAGTCCGTATTAGGAATATATCAAAAGTAATGCTTGAGCAGTTTCCAGAGTTGGGATCTACAAATTTCAGATCCGTAGATCCAACTCTATTAAAATTATAATCAAATCAACCTATGCAGCATTGGAAATAGAAATTCGAAATTCAAAATGCAGAATCAAATAGTCTAAACAAAAGGCAGACAAATGAATCAACCTTTCCAGCAAATTACAAGAAAAAAACAGCTAAACGCCTCAGAGATCCAGACTTCTATCGAAAACACAAATGCACAGGAAATAAATTTCGGATTGAGAGGTAAAGATTGTACCTTTATTGGGTTATTCTTATTATTTTTTGAAATACGGGTATTCCTGGAGGGGGTGGATATGTGCCTGTCTCCGCACCCGGACACTCTTTAAACAGAGGATGGAGGCAATGCGTCAGGCTTAAAAGGCGGATGTCCAAAACTCAATCTCAGCCTCAAATGAAATTCAGATGAAATGAGCCTCAAATTCATTTTGCACAAATCAGAGCCGTTGGCTGTGTATGATTGATCCATCTTTACTGGGTGGGGCCCAGAAGACACATCATATTCATGGATGATTTAGCTGGCTGCCTTTCCCACCCACTATTACAATTTGTGGACAAATATGAATTATTCTAATTTTGGATAACCTGTTTTTTTATCTTTGCAATTTTGCAACCATCCGCCTTAATGGAAATGTGACAAACACAAACCTAACTTGCATTATGCCATTATGGGATGTAGGGATTTATATTATCCATCTAAGCTTGGAAGCTTTTAATTTTAACATGCAACAGATAAATGTTTAGTTTTGGTTTTTAAGTAAACGGTTTATATACATCACTCTGATTTGACATATAAAAATTTACTCAAAATTGATTACAACTTTTCATTGAGCATACGAGAGTTCGAAACAATACCTTCAATCATAGTAAACTAAATATCCCAAGAGTGACACTGACACAAACAAATCAAATTTGATAGAAATTGTTTAACGAAATCAATTTAAAATTTGGATTAAAATAAAACAAAAATGTCAATTGGTTAAACTCCAACATGAATCGCCATCTTTACATCCCGAGCAACACGTTCACTCCATGACGGTCTAGGAGGGGCCGAGCCATCAATATCTCCGAGTTGAAGATTGAATATTTCTATCACAAATTGAGAAGAATTCACAATCATCACTCCTTATTCCATCATTGACAACCGATCACAAACTTGCTCCAAAGCTTTGATGTTACTCATCCTAAAAAATGCCATGTTGCGCATCAATGTCACATTGATGGATCTATGTTAGGGCTATGGTGGGCTGAAGCCCAGAGTAAAGTCAAAAAAGAAAATTTGTTTAAGGTATTATTTTTAAAAATTTCCATCTAGCCACTCCAAATTTTCTATAGCCTAGTCTAATTTTTCACCCCAGTCCATAAAACAAAATCATACCATTTAAAATTCAAAAAATATACTCTGTAACCTAAATGTTATACGCATCACGGCAGGACCGACCCAGTGGAAAGGCAACTAGTGCAATGGCACAGGGTCTCAAGAAATAGAAGGCACAAAAACATTTGTAGTATTAATTAGGTAGCCCACTAGCCCAAATTCAATAAAAATAGGCTAATACTAATAGCCATGTGATGAATGTTGAGATTTGGAGGAATAAAAGACAATTTTATTAATGTAAAATATTGAGTACAAAGGTGGGGAGTCTCTCTTACTCTCACTCTTGAGGATGCTTCACTCTCTTGGTGGTGATGGAGTTGTGTCCATCCACCTCTATTTATACTAGCTAGCCTAAGGAGGTGAGAGTGTTTCTAGATCCTTCCACATTAATTACATTCTAGATTATTCTCACATCTATTACATTCTAGAGTATTTCTATCTAACTCTCATTCAATACTCTATCTAGAGAATTCTACACTTCCTAGAATTCATAAAGAAGATTATAGAAGATTCTAGAGAACTTAATAAAGAAGATTCTAGAAGATTCTAGAGAGTCGTTGACTTTTCAACACTCCCCCTCAACGACTACTCTATCTTATTGCAGATCTTGCAACCATGCCAAGTTGATCCCTCAAGCTCTCGAACTGCGTAGTGTTTAGTCCTTTGGTGAACAAATCAGCAATTTGATTTTCTGTCCTGATGTATTTCATCTCAATATCTCCTTTAAGGACCTTTTCTCGTATGAAATGATAATGAACCTCCACATGTTTTGTCCTTGCGTGAAAGATTGGGTTCTTCGCGAGCCGTATTGCTGATTGGTTATCACAATGTAATGTTATTGGCTCGTCAATTGGTTGATGAAGATCTTTTAGAAGTTGCATCAACCATGCACTCTCTTGAGCTGCCATTGCTGCTGCTCTATATTCTGCTTCTGTAGTTGATAATGACACCGTTGGTTGTCTTTTGCTACACCATGAAACAGTGCCCGTCCCAAGACTAAATGTGTAACCAGTGGTAGAGCGACGAGTATCATGATCTCCAGCATAATCAGCATCACAATGGCCTACCACTTCAAATGATGCATCTCTTTTATACAATATGCCGAAATCCAAAGTTCCTTTTATGTACCTCATTATGCGCCGGATTGCATCTAAGTGTGGCTTCCTTGGCTTCACCATGAACCGACTCACTACTCCTACCGTGAACATGATATCCGGCCTTGTGATTGTTAAGTAGATAAGACTTCCAACAAGTTGTTTGTACATTGTGGAGTCCTCTAATTCTCGACCTTCAACTGTGCACATCTTCACATTCGGCTCTATAGGAGTTGATATCGGTTTGCAATATAATCAAGCATCCCAAATTTTTCAAGTATGTCTTTTGCATACTTGTGTTGGCACAAGAATATTCCTTCTTTAGTTCGTTCAACCTCAAGGCCCAAGAAATGTTGTAGTTCTCCAAGCTCTTTCATTTGGAACCTCACTGATAAATTTCCTCGTATTTCATTGATCTCCTTCTCATGATTCCCGGTGATGATTAGATCACTAGATGAGTTTTTTTTTGTTTCAAATCCTCATCGAGGACAAATTTAATGGACAACTCTTATATTTGATTTTCTGCTTATTTTGAAAATTTTCAATGTAATATCATTTATGTGTTTCAGCCCACCCCAACATAAAATCCTGGATCCGCCCCTGTCAATGTGTCTGTCCCCACACAACAAAACCTTTCTAATTGCTGGTGGGCGTAGTTCAACTAGTAGATAGGGATGACATAAGAGGTAAGTTTCAGATTCAAATCACAACTGCGATGAGAGGTCAATATTTAAAAGTGTATAGAACTTTTGCAAATACATGAGACGGAATCTCACTAGCTATCTATCAATTTGAAATTAAAGTCTTATCCTCTCAATTAACTATCTGTGTGTTGGGGGTTACCAAGGATGAATGTCATATGCATCCTTTTACAAAACCCTTCCAACCGACGAGAAAACCAACAAAAAACCCCTCCTACGGCTAAGAAACTGTCGCTTAGAAACCAGTCTAAATGCTAGGCGTCAGCCTAGGCACGTCCGCTATGGTGTTGGAGAGAGCCGCTCCTCACGATAATGTTTACTTATGTTTCTATTTTTTTTTTCACCATTTCTGAAAACCTAAATGATAGTGCAGTTTGATTGTATCTTTTGTTTCTATAAATAATTCATATTTTTGCAATAACAATTTAAGAACGAGAAACACCAAAACGAGCCATGTTTCTTTGTCATCTCAGGGTTTTGAACGTAACAACGTTACTTCCTTGAGTCCCTTCAACCTATTGAACATAGAAGAGGAATGTGACACACAAATTGAACATTGTGATTGTATGATTCAATTGATATTTTATATACTACGTACGTATTAATTAGTAATGTCTTGAGTCATATAAATATGAGAACAATTATGGTATTAGACTATTAGATAAACTAAAATGTAACAAATGGGACGAATCCTCTCATAACAAGAATCAGTATATATTATACTTTGCAAAACCACATTATTTACAAATTTTCTCTGTTATTTATTAATTGTCCAGTCCTATAAGTTTTTTCACGGTATATATTTGAGATTTTGATGTGAAAATAGTAGGGATTATATTTATATAAATATGGTAAGCCCTGGGTTTGCCGTTTGTGTTAAAATGAAATGTATGAAAGACAATGTATTAAGAAAGATAATTCCACTTTCTCAATTTAAGAAAGGTAATACATTTAAAAGAAGAGAAACTAGACAAAATAAGAGAAACTTATCCATTTTTCTCAATTGATGATTTAATTAGTTAGTTTCTCCTCAAAATAATACTACCTCCATCCCAAAATGATTTGTCAAATCCAAAACTTTGACCAATAGTATATATTTATTGGGAATTATTTATAAAATAAAAATGATATGAAAATGTTCTTTGTTAAAAGTCTAAAATTATGATTTTCATAATATTATACTAATCGAAACCATGGTCCAAATTTTGAGATTTGGCTAAACATTTTGGGACGGAGGTAATATCTAAATGATCATATTTAAATATGGAGTAATATATTTAATAAATAAATTAATAAATACGTAGTAAATTTATATGGATTATTATGCACTTAATCTATTATTATAAAGTTCTGGCTTCCTTCTCTCTTCTTTATTGCTTGCTTGGAGTCATCCCGTTAGTCGTCAGCTGTCTGCATCCGACCAGCAGCCGACCGCCCTCACTTGCTAGCAGCACGCCAAGACGGTTGTTGTTGGGGTCACCGTTTATTGAGGCCACGCTGTCCATCTTCGCCATTGTTGAGGTCGCGCAACCCAAGGTCGGCACAACCCAATGTCAATGCCCATTGGGGGGTTGTGCAATGAATTGAAGTGAATAGATAGTGTTACTTAATAATTTTGACGTAAAATGCAGTGATTATGACAAAACAAATACTATAATAGGTTAGAAATATTTTCCCAAAAAAATGACAACAACTACATTAATTTAGAGCAACAACGTCGACATAAAGTGCAGTAATGTCGTGCAATAATGTCTGCATGAAGTGCAATATTTTTATTGGGCGAAAGGAGTGAAAGTGCCAAGTTTGAAAAATATTGCAATATTTAAACTTTAGTACTGTCAAAACATTGCAATAATTACTCTTATTTCGGGATTAAAAACATGACAATCCTACTTAGAAATTTTAGAATGATCTTACTCCTATATAAGGGAACTTCTCAAAATACTATGTGTCTCCGCGAGACTTAGAAGATCTCTAATGCTACAATGTACATGATGCACGTGTAAATGAGAGAGATAGACACATAAATATTAATGAGTAATATACATATCTTCTTATTTAAAAATGTCATATGTGTTTTGATAAGTTTTTCTCTACCATGTCAAAACAAAGATCTAGATATAGACATTGTGATTAACATTATTGTTAAAAATTTACT